GTGTAAAATCAATGAGACTGACTGGCAAAGGGGACATCTTGCTCTGCCAGTCCAAAACGCTTGGGTGCCCAAGGGCTGGTGCCCAGGACCCTCAGGCTGGGGTGTTTGCCGGACCTCTCCCATGGCCAGTAACCAAGCCCTCCTCCCAGGTCCTAAAAATAGTGGGTACAAGCACTCGACACCTGGTGTGGGGTGACTCCTGGTTGGACATCGCTCTGACAGACAGTGTTAATTGCTGACCTGAAAATTAGAGGTTGCCTGGATACCGATGATTGGGTGGTGTTTGCTGGGTGCGAGCTGGGGGCAGCATCCTGCGGCGGCTGCCCCGGCCATGGAGCGGCTGCTGGCGTCGCCGGCTGGTGGAGGATAATGAAAGCTGAAAGCGAGTGAAAGACTTCCCCTTGCTGGCCCCGAAACCCACAATCTCGCAACCACAGGAAGGTGACCGGGAGCAGAACTAAAGCCTGGTTAAAAGGCTCCGTGATAGCAGCAGTAAAACCTCTCCATGGTGTTAATGCGTGGCAAAGTGCCGAAGCTGGTGGCAGAGGATGTAGGAGTGAAGATGGGATGAGTGATGAGAAATGCTGGAAGAGTCAGTAAAGTGACCACCAGGAGGGTGAAGAAATGAGGGGTTTAGGCAAAATCACCAGCAGGAAGGACAGGCAGCGTGTGCTCTGGGCAGAGGCAGAAGGCATTGTCCACCCCGCAGGGGTGTGGGGCATGGAGAGCTCAGCTTCCCCAGGGTGGGAGGGGGAAACACCGTCTGCTGAGGCTCAGCCTTTCAGCTGAGCAGCTTTGCATAACTTAGATGGAAGGCTCTTAGAGAGGTTGGCTCGGTTTGATCAGGATTTGGCCATCGGTGTCATCAGTGGGGCTCGGTGCGTGTGCCAGGAGGCTCAGGCTAGCACCCCACTGGCACGAGTGCCAGGCTGGCTGCTACAGTCAGCATTGCTGTGGCACGCTTGGGTTTCCCCGAGGCATCCCAGCTATCCCCCAGGGGCTGCTGTGGCACAGAGCCCGCCTGCCTCAAGCCCAGCCACCCCTGCATGCCTCCTGGTTTTCCAGCAGCTGCCGAGCGCCGGGGTTCCCTGAGAGCTGGCGGCGGGGCTGGGGCCAGAGCAGTGCTGCCCCCCGAGGGCTGGCACATCGCCCCTTCCTCATTTCGGTGCTGTTCAACTTCTCCAGCTGCACTTCAGCGATGTGATTGCTTTTAGCAGGCCCAGGGAGACAGGCAGCAGCTGACTGTTTGATCAGGGAGCCGGGCGGATGCAGGCTCAGCGTGGTGCAGGTTGAATGCTGCAAACCGGCGCCGCGACGTTCTCACGCGCTGCGGGGCTGCGGTGCGCTGCTGAGCCTGGGCCTCGCAGCTGGAAACTGTCTGGGAAGTTTGCAGCCCGGATGCCCAGCACGGGGCAGGTCACTGCTTGGCTGCCAGCGTGCTCTGGTGTTGGCTGTGCCCTGCGCCCGCACGGAACTGTGGGCTGGCTGAGCACCACGGCACAGTCTGGACCAGCTACCGTGGGCGGGGCGGGGGCCAGCTACAGTGGCCGGGCAGGTGGTGTTGGCTGCTGCAGGCAGGGGCCACATCCTGACCTCCTCCCAGGAGGGAGGGGGGCTGGTCACTTCATGCTTGTACTGGGGACTCTCTGGCTTTAGAGGTCTGGCTCAAGTCAGCGGGGAGATGTGAGCAGTGGCACACATTTCATGTGTAACCCATTAATGGTGGCGTTCAGCGAGCACTGCCATCTGGCATGGTGTCCCAGGTCCTGGTGAGCCAGAGGGATGGGGATTCTGGCTGCAAGTGAGCCACACGCCTGTGCTGCGGTGTGAGCAAATGCCAAGGGCTGAGCTGAGACAGAAACACCAGGCAGGAGCTGGTGGCCTCCA